CCTAAGATGGATGCAATAGCCCATTTACTGAAAAATGATGTGTTAAGGACTGATCTTACATCAGAACAGGGTGTGATAAGGAAATTACAAAAGCATGTCCAAAGATAATCTAAGCTGTGGAGGACAATGGAGTGTTTTCCTCCCTTCCCCATACTAATATGAGAGGTAGGCAGTGACTTGTCGTTATATTTTATGAGATAGTGAATGTCTTTGTGGCTACTGAGCACTTGGTTGTTACTGAGCTGACTGCCAGAGCAGTGAGATGAAGCAAGAATGTGGCACTCCTCTGAGGCATTCATCTGCAGATGAACAGATATCATAATGTGGAAACAGAGAAGTGGTATCAAGGCATCCTGGCCCCCTGGAATTGAAGCATCCATCTTCTTCCACTCACCCAACAAAGCTCACTGATACACATGCCACATCAGATGGCTCTAGTATCTCAGCCTGGTAGCTGTTTAGATGCTGAAGAAGCAGTGGAATTTGAAAAACAACTAGCCTTAGAAACTGCAATTATCCTTCCCATAACTCCAGTGGCTCCAGGATCAGGCAGAGGCAGTTCATCACTCTGCTTCTCCTAACACCACTGCTTTAAGTTTGGCTGTGGAAAAAATTGAACGGGGTAACAATTTTAACGTGCAGGTACATTTGAACTTTGCATCCCAGTCTTTCAAAGAAATAGAGGCTTTGGCCATGAGGTGCATGTTCAGACTGCCCAGCTTGTTTCTGAACTGCTAGAAGGTAGTCAGAACCAATAGTTTATTTGTGCACCAACATCTCACTCTCAATGCCGACACCTGTCTTAACTACAATATCTCAAGATTCTCTGCCCAAACGCTGCTACTGCACAGGACCAGGAGCACTACAGCTATAGACCTCAGTGCAGTTACTTGCTTTCCTCTGTCCCAGTTTGGGTTGGCTGCAGCTCCCACTATGCATCTGGAGGCGTTTCACTATTTAGATGATTACCATCAAGCTCAGACTTTCATCCTTGCACAATAAGGATCAGTTTGCAATTAAATGTTTTGGAATGCTTTCTGGCCATTTATCACACAACTAATCTCAGCAACCCCCTTTCACAATGTTCTAAAAAAGCATTAATGTGTAAGTGTTCTACAAGCATGGTTAGTGATAGGATGTTGAAGAGTGAAAACCATTTTCACTTTGATACAGACTATCCTATTCTGACTTCTGAGCATGTTTGGATAGGTATAATATTATAATTTGCATGGGAGACAATATTTAGCAAGAACACAAAACAATAGGCATTGCTAACATTCACCCCGGGTAAAACAGCTTTGCCACTGTCCAGTCGTATTTCACACTTTGCACACTAAATGCTGCTCATTTCACTGCACTGAACTCTGCCTCTGGCAAATGTAGAACAGGACCTATCCAGAACCATAATGTCCTATGCCAAACAAAATCATTGATTTTTTTCTTAAGCTAGATTTTTTAAGGTGAAAAAATGGTATTTGTACTGACTAAGCCAGCAATCTTCTCAGGAGATGCTGTTTTATCCCCACTTACTTGAGATCTATTAGTCTCCTCTGCCATTGCAAACAACTGAGCAGTTTTGATTGGCTATGTTGACTTCTGCATCATCAGCCTGAGGTGGTGGAACCACTCATCAAAGCTGGGGTCCTGTTTCTTGTACAACCCAAAACAGTGCAGGTGAAGGAAATGAAGGTTCACCTCATTTCTTTAGAGAAATAACATCTTCCCCCTTTCCCACAGTCCAGACTTACTTCCATAGTGCTTGAGATTCAGTGAAAAATGAATGCTAACACTGAAAACAATTAAGCTTTAAGCCAAAAGATTTTTCATTAAAAAAAAAAACCACCTGAGTTTTTCACTGAAAACATACAGATTTTTCAAGCAGTCCTATTTGTTAAAAACCACTAATGATTGGTTGTCTGTCTGTTACTGGATTTCTTAGTCCTGGCCTAAGTACGTGGCCTAAAAAAAATCCATACTACTGTATGGAAAAACAGTAAGATTGTGTTAAGTGAGCATGGTAAAGAAGCATTTCAGTTCCCATTAACTAAATTAATTTAATCACAATTAGAACATGAAGAAAACAATTAAGAATTTGATGAAACTCCCCTTTTGGCCCTGGAAAGTCCATTTCCTCCATTTCTTAAAATGTATGAGATGCAGAAGAAATCTTTGCTGGCAGGGCTTCAATTCAAGATAAAAATTATAATGCTGCAGTGCACAATGGCAAAAGCATTTCACAAAAATTCCTGTTGAGCAATTAGAAAAAAGATGTATTATTCCCCTCAGATCATAAGAGTAGCTTGATTTTAACTTCAAAAAGTAATTCAGAACATTTCAAACAACAGTTATTACGCATTTTAAATTAAGCAAGTCTGAATAAGTTGTGACTGAAAATTTGACAGAGCTGATTAAGAAGCTGTCCGGACCACCAATACTATTTAAATGAATTTCCCACTTCTAGGAAAGATTTCAGCGGACTGAGGTGGGGAAGAAACTAATACAGCATCAGCTTTTCAGTAAGTAGGTAGACTAATTTAAATTGACATAGCAGGAAACGGAAAGAAAATAATGGAATAACCCATAATTTTCGATCATTCCAGAACACAGAAAGCAAAACTAATTGAAATTAATAAAGCTTACAAGAAATAGGGCTGGTCAGATAAAATTGACTCCTTATATTGATCAGCTAAAATTCAAAATTGGTTGAAAACAAAGCCAACACACATAGTATTTCTATTACTGATTGGCATTTAAAAGTGTGCCACATGACAGACTGAAGCCAGATTTATACAAAATTAACTGTCTGGGATGAAATACGTTGCAACCATGGTTTCTGAATTGTATACAGACATCCATTAAGCACAACTGTCTGTTCTTATTTTAAAAATTCCTTCTTTACTATAACGTTATTTAACATTGTTTTCAGGAATAGAAATACAAGATAAAATTACCTTTCAAATCTCATCTAAAGATGAAAAAGTTTCAAAGGAGAGAAGCAGAGAAAACTAATGAATACAACTGGCCACTTCCTACAACCAGCTTGCTTTGTTTCCTGGCTGCAAACTGCATTCAAAGGAATGTAGAAACACACAGGGGTTCACCAACCACAGGAGCAATAGGCACAGGGACTATTTATATGTCAAATCTGATATAACAGATATCTTTATAACAGCCAAGACTGTTATAAAAATGAGGTAGAGGAGCAGTAGATAGAGTTGATACTATACAATTCTTTTAGCAGTCCTGCTTTGCTATTAGTGCTCCAATTAAAAATGCATTTAAATTATTGTAAAGGATCCAAAGGAGAGTGCCACCAACACAGGATCCAGAAGACTTGAGTCTATTTACTTACTTTTAAAAAGAAAGCTGAAGAGTGACTTGTTCAGTTTGAAATTGCCTACAGTGAAAACAGCAATGTCACTCCATGCACTTCAGTTTGGCAGACAAAAGACAAAAGATCTGACAGCTGGATATGGAAAGATGACAAATTCAGGCTCAATGTAAGAGGCATGTGTTTAATAGTAAGTAATTATACTTTAAACAATTTGGGTGGATTCTTAATTGTAGGAGCTTTCAAATCAATGCAGGATACTTCTTCTAAGAACAGCTTTAGTTCAAACAAGAATTTGAGGAAGTCTTGGAAACTGCTCAGCAAGAGAGCAGACTGAACACATGGTGTTTCCTTCTGCCTTCTGAATCAGATTACACTGGAACTGTTGAATTTTTCTCATGCAAATACCTCAAAGGAGGTAGATTTAAAAAGGGAAGAGAAGCAGGCATGAGCATTTTGGACACATAAGACCAGGCAATACAGTTGGGACTATATGGCTGCATTACACCACAACCTGAAAGAAGAATCACCTAGGTACAGCAAGGGTGTAAAATTGTGTAGATAGGGAGGGACCCTACATTTTTGTACTAGAAATTATGAAAATGAAAGCAGGAACAGCATGCTATGTTCAATCTAGTGGATGCCAGAAATTTTGCATGCCAGGAGATTGCTCAGCCCAAGCCTACATGGGTACTGTTTCTTTCAGACTGTTTTTATCATGAGAAAGAAAAATAAGACAGATGCAATGCACCTGAAAGAATTCACGTTTTTGGCCTAGGTGAAACAAAGGTGAAGATGCCTGACACGCTGCAGATAAACTTAATCATGTAAAGGAAAAGGTAGTCAGAAGAGGCAGAAACCTGAGAATTTCCTGCTTGAATTGTATCCATACTTTTGTGAACATAAAATTTGCAAAGACTGAGTTTCTAGTCTCAGGAAATAAAATTATTCCAATAGATGGCACTCCTTTTTGCATATAAGGCCATGAGATTCACGTTGTCTTGTCTGGTGTCAAGCTTTGAACAGAACCTCTTGTATCTTAGGAGAAGATCTCATGCTATAAGGCTGCTGGATGTTTTGAGCATGACTACCTAGTTCTCCCTGCAAGTCACGTTTGAACAAAAAAAACCAAAAAAAACCCACATAAAGATGGCCACATTTTGAAGAAATGTGTTTTGGTGGTATACAGATTTAGTTGGAGAATGTTCTTCAAGAGAAGAGTGTAACATTTTTTACTCCAGTAATTCTTCCAGTAGCCAAGATTCTTACTTCACAATTTCAAAGTTCTGCATACCCAGCTGACAGGATTAAGACACAGCGTAGGAGTTCACCCTGCACAGACGGTGAGCATAATGTACAGTCATCATGGAGACAACAGCTCAGAGATGGAAAAATCCTCCCAGGTTGTTCATGACAGATCTATGGCAGTGGTCACCCACGACAATGTATTTTTAGAGTTCTGTACAGCCCATTTCTATGCATGCTCCTCCCAGAGACCCTTTAATTCATAGATACTGTTAAAGCTCACATGACTCACTTCAAAGAGATACATCATAGTATCACTTTTGTATCTGCACTTTCCCACATGGGCAACATGCTGATGTGGAGCTGTATTTAAAGCACGCTTTGGAACCAGGGACCTTGCAGCTCAACAGCACTAAATAATCCATAAACTTTTTCAAGTACATACTTTATTTGATTCATATTTCACAGTCAACTTCTGTAAAGTTTTAGCAAAAAGTTCATGTTCTATAACAGAGGTGTTAGGCTACTGTATTCAGAGCTAGCAATGGGCTTTGAAAGTACAGAAAATACCTGCATTCCAACTAGAACAGTAGAATTTCAAAAAGATATAGTAAAAGTAATCAAAAATATCAACATTTATTAAAACAATACAAAAACCAGTCTTTCTGACACATCAAGCTACCCCATTTGTAAGTTTTCAGCAATAGCTGAAGTTGCAGCAGGCCATTTGATTGATTAGACCAAGACTGTTTCAGCTAACTTCTTAACACCAAATCTTGCTGCTTTGAGGATCAAAAGAAACTGTGAGTTCACTGCTTACAGTTTCCATTCAGAGGCTAACACTTCTGTTCAAATTTACTGCACCACTTTCAGATCCTGCCCAGAATCTGGACGTATCCTGGTCCTGATGTAGTCAACTAATTTTCCAAAGGCATTTCCTAGCTAACCTATTTTATTACATTGCAGCCAAGAAAGGAAAGCCCTTATTGTTTTAAAGCTTTATCAGGGCTCCCAGGAATAAAGGCAGCTAAGAAAACGGAACAGAATGGTACCTGATGACACATTTACCACCAGAAACCTTCAACATCCTTATTTTTTTATAGATGTTGAGTTAAGGTTTCCCATTATCCAGGGATATGCTTCCTAAGGAGCCCCAGATTTAAGTATGAGTTCCAGAGTGGATTTTTCTAGTTCAGTAAATACTATTTAAGTCTGGACTGATGCCCAGTAGGAGATTTCTAACCAGCTGCTGAACTTTATTCACAGATTTATTGAACATATATTTATACAAATTACACCAGCAGAAAGGCCCATTAGCTGTAAGCACACCCACTTCAGCCCACCCTCCATACTGTCAGAGAAAAAGTCCATGTGGTACTATAAGGACTATGAGAGATTTCCACCAGCTAAGTCTCCCTAAGTCAAAGGGTACTGCCCTGCAAAGCAAGTTTTTCATTCCTTTATACTCTATTAGAGCAGTGGATATAGAATGGAGAAGGTCACTGGTGGACTCATTTTTCCTTGTCTCAAACAGCTACGATAGGACTTCATTTTTTCTGCCTCCCTTTCATCTCTACGTACCCTGAGCCCATCATCTTGTTTTCTAGGGCAACCGCTTCCTAAAAATACATATTCTGAACTTCAAATTCTCCTCTCTATTCCATTTCTCTAAATAAGAAAAATAAGGAAGGGGATGGGAGAAGGACTTCTTTCACATCACACCAACTCCTTTCACCTACTTGGAAGTGATGATGGCCCAACAGTGGGGCCTGTTCTGCTGCTGCACTCTCAGAAACAACTATCTGAAATGGGAATAAGAAGATGGTTGCAGAATACTGCAAACAACTGTCTTCACTTCAAGAATGGGAACATGCCAGCAGAACACATACAAACTTCTTCAGACCAACGAATCACACAGAGTGAGCATGAAATTCAAGGTCACGTTACAGTACTAAGTACCCATTCTGCCTGGAACCCACCATGCTATTCCAGTCCCACAGCTGGCTCTGAAGACAAATTGTTAATGGCAATTCAACGCTACAAATCTTGGACTCAAAAAATGCTCAAGTAGAAGTCTGAGACAGGAAAAAGGAGGCACAGAAATAGCTTGACCAACAGCTATGCACATTTTTACTACATGTTGGGATAAGTGGGGTCTTCGAGGTTGCTATCAGCTTTATCAGATCCTGTTAGGGATGCTTCTAGCTCTGCCCATGACTGTGGAGCATTGTTCTTTATTGCCTCTATGAAAAGCTGTGTTTGGTGCTTCAGCTGGTCCAGCTCAGCCTGCGTCACCTGGTTCTGATGAATGAGCTCCTTGGTTTTTAGGGTGATCTCCAGCAGTCCCGACCTGCGCAGCACCACCAGCGTGTTCTGAAAGCGCCTGCACTTGCTTTGCTGCTGCAAGAGCAGCTCGGGGGTGCTGCAAATCTCCTCTGGTACCAACGGAGGGCTCCACACTGCAGCAGGCACCGCAGCCTGTGACGCACTCTCGCCCTCGGGAAGGGTGCACTTTGCTGCCTGCAGAGCTCCAAAAGGCAAAAGGGGAGTCAAACCTGGCACCTTCTGAGCATCGCTGGAAACACGATGAAAACCAGGAAGAGCTGACAGTTTTCCACTTGTCACCAGTGCTGAAGAACTTTGCTGGCTAGAATCCTGAGGGGTCTTAAAGCTAACTGGTAGGTGGGAAAAAGAACTAGTAGACAAGCCTGTGCTCATCAGTCCAGGAGAAGCCTCCATCTTGGGTGCTTCTGTGCAGAGTCGTTTATGGCAAGTGGTTTCCTGACATTCTTCTAGATCAAAGGAGTGATCTCTTTTGCAGGGCTGTGGTGCTATTTTGGGATAAGAATTCAGGATGGGCAGGTAATTAGTGGAGTCATTTCTCTTTTTCCCAACAGGGTGAGGACTAATGGGAGGTGGGATTGATGGACGAAGAAACACTAGCTGTGGCTGAGCTGGAATCACTTCAAAGGATGGCTGCACAGTCCAAGACTGGAGCTGTGATGAACTGCCCTGGGAAGCACAAACAGGGAAAAAACCACAAGTCTTACAGAAGTGTCGTAGAAGATGATAAAAACAAATTTAAACAAAACAGGTGGACTGTGCCATTTTTCTACATTTGATATATACTGTCCAATTAATGTGTGAAGAGTTTTCTATCAAACTCATCCTTCTCTTTTTCTGACAGTGGAGTGTAATGCTGGAAATAAAGCTGTAACCCATAATCCTTTTACCATGCAACAGCAGATGTATTTAAAAACAATTCAATCTGAATTTATATATGCTTTCCTAAGTGAGGATTACAGTGCAAGCTTATATTGTAAAATGTTCGTTAAAAGTTCGACCCAGACTTAGGGTCAAATTACAACTGCACAGGAAAAACTGAAAAATAATTAAGATTTCTGTTATGAAATATCTTAAGAGCCAAGGAAAGATTGCATAGACATTTTAGGAACAAATCAGGCTCCCTCTTTCTGGAAAGGTAGCAACTCAAATCTTTTCAAACCTACTCTTATAGCAAGATTTTGAAATGGTTATTTAAGATACACAACAGCTGTTCAGGAAGCCTTGTAATTGGAAGTACAATTTCAGTAAATTTAAAACTATATAACAGAAAAAAAAAAGGCTGAATATCAAGCAATGCAAGGAGAAAAGCCTGCAGTAAGCCCAGAGGAGTTTAACTTCATATACCTCTGGGGAAACAGTGTGCACTGATAAATCTTAAAAGCATTTCATTTCAAGAACAACGCCCAAGGCTTTATTCCCTCCCACGAGCCATACTCTGGAATATAGGGGAAAACATCAATTTTTACAAGACATTACCTCTTTTTCCTCCAACACCTTACTACAGATCTTCATAAGATCTTCTGGCCAAAAACATGTCTGCTTTTCTCCAAAGACATCAAATGGTCCAGTAAGAGACACTATTTCTGTCTAAAGCAAAATCTCACTTCTTGATCTATTTAAGCCATCACTGCTACAATTATACTAATATATTGTCAGCTGCTTTTCCAATTCCTTACAACTTGGAACATAACTGGTAGGCCTGCTCTGAAGGCACAGTTTTTAGCTACCACAAATATATATTATTATTTTTAGTCTATATTAAGTAATCTGAAATCCATATCCTTTCCACCAGTCTCATAAGTTTTAAACTGGCAAACACTAACATGCTTTGCTAAAGTCCATTCCCCCAGTAAAGGACTTGGAACTTACCAAAAGCAGGTATTACCCACTGATTAGGACACTGAGACTTGGAGATAAGATTCAATTACCTACTCTGACACAATGTTTCTTTGGTTCAGTGGGCAAGATGCTTATGCAATAGGGGTACAGAACAGCTACCTGTAAAAATAAATATTACTACCTTAACACAGAAGAAAGAACATTCAAAAGAAAAATATCTGGAGATGTAAGGAGTGAGGAAGCATATAAATACTGTAGCTATACAAACACAGGACAGAACAGGTAGCCTTAAGAAGCAAGGGTCTGGAGCCAGAAGTTGCCATTAAGTGCACTGCTGAACAGCACCGAGCACGGCAGAGCCCCCTGTTCATTGAGGCCAAAAGAGCTGTGGTAACTGCTTATCTTGCTCTTGGGTTTCTTCCTATCCCTGTTCTTTTTTCTTTTCCTTCTCACACAGCACCCTGCTCTAGTTCTCCTACTCAAATTCTCATTTTCAGTAGAGAAGGCCACTTTGATTTTACTAACTCTGCAAATCGTGTGTGTTGTTGCATTTTTTAATGAAAGCTAACTTCTTGATGTATCACTGTCACTTGCCTAAAAAGCCGTCTCACTTACTGAAGACTTCTACAAGGCTTACAGAAACCTTACCACAATCAGCACTGGCATTAATCACCACCTGACTTTATTTTTTTTTTTAGCATCATTACTGTTAGCTGGTTACATTGTGAAATTGGGCCAGCAGGTAACAACCACTGTAGAGGATCACAGTGGTTCCAAGATAGAAGGATGATGCTGATGGAAATTGAAAGTGGAAGAAATAAACAGCAGTAACTGAATGCTGCTATTTTTTTTTTTTTTGGTCCAGCAAGTCCAACTGAGTGCTGTGTTGAAAAGACCATTTTAAAAAGATGACCATCTGAACTAACTAGGCCTAATGAAAAAAGGCAGGAAGACATTTCATTATTATTCTGACCTAGACTTGTTGCTTTCCTTTATTGTAGTTAACGTTTTTCAATTTGACATTACTGTCTTTAATCATATGTAGTTAGATATCACAATGCACTGCTCAAGAGAACCAAGTGACAACATTTTATCCATCTCCAAGTCTTCCTTGCCAAATTTCCTTTCTCCTATACTACCAGGGTTTTTTATATAAATGTGGTTGTATTTTTTTTATATCTCTCTCTCTATAAGTTACTTATTATTAGCAGCTGCTTTTTCTTATTTGCAACGCAACTTGGAGTTTAACACTGGAATCAGTGCAGGTAATGTTTTAATTTTTGTGCTCTGGGCCAAAGGCTATCAGCCTTTGGTGAAGCTTGGCAATTCCTGACTTTACATATAAAAACTTCAGCATTTGTTTACACAGTAATTTGTCCACACATCTAGGAATGTGACTATAAAATAAAATTGTTTCTTGTCAAGATAAAGCACGATGCTCAGAAAGCAGAATCACCTCCCCCATAACTGCATAATCTGTTAAATACTAGCAGGGAATATTAGGTCTTGCTTGTTGTCATAACAGGTTCAGTAGAAAAAGAATCAGGATTTATATTCTTTTTTCCCCTTCCCACTGTATTCTCAGAAGTACTCCAATACAAAACATTGTAGAACTTTTGCTCTGCTCCAAAAATTAGTGAGCACAGAGCACGAGGTCTAATAATATGACTGTACCTCATACCTTCTGTTAAAATGTTAAAGTTACACAGGGGTCTCACAGATGTGCTGGAGGAACTAAACATCACAAAAATACTGAAGAACATAAATAGGGGCTGTAATTGGTGCAATGTGAGCCATCATATGCAATTAAGTGAAACAACTATTAAAGCAGAAGTACCACAGCTAACTTCAGATAAGGATTTAACTTTTTCATTTATAACATCTGGATTTGTGTTTTCCATTGAAGCACTTCTAGAATCTAAGAATGAGGAAACAAACCTATCATCTTACTTCATCATCTTTTTTGAATAATAAACAAGAGCAGCTTTCAAAAGCAAATCACCCTTTTCTGTTCAATCTTTGGTGCTAGTCACATAACATTCTTGAAAATGTGTTTTGGTGGGATTCCTTTGAAACAAAGAGGTTTAGGAGACTGAGCAGAGTTACTCTATTTCACATTTCATTTCAGTGATTCCAGCTGCCTCTCAAAAGAAGAGACAATCATACTAGAACTTCTTAAATTACCATTTTTTTTTCCTGGACTGCAACAACATTACAAAATCTTTCTTGAAAGGAAAAAATTAAGAACATGCAATATTTTTCAAGACATGTCTTCCCTACCTGCTTAACCAACACATTTTTCATAACCACCATAGGAGATAGGGCAGGAAAGGAGCTGCTTGTGGTCCTCGGGCATTGCCAAGGTCCATCCTCTGCATTCCAACACAGCGCATTCAGCACATCCTCCGAGTCCGTGTGCTCCATAGCACTTGGGCATTCTGAACTTCCATCTGCCAGAGGCACAATTCAGCTGTTAGTTGTTCCACATGCAACATGCTTACATGCCTTTCAGTTCTAATATTCTGCCTCCTTCAACCAAGTTGCCATAAAGAACAATAAAGTTTAGTTCTGTAATATCAACAGAATTAAGGTTGCTATGACAGCTGTCAGACAGCCTCTAATAAAAGGCTTTGTATTTCAGGTCAGTTCTTATACAGACATTTTCTACCCCAAAAATCTATTACTTTCTGCTCATTTGTACCTAGTCTCCAAGGGACTGCATAGTATCATGAAGGTTGCATTAGTCTAAAAACTGATACAGGAAAGCACTCCAGGCTCCAGCACTGCCACATCCACAGTTTGCGATGTCGGCATTTGGTGTCTTGAAATTTTATCTAAAACCCAGTGAAGCAGGTAACTTTCATAGAAAGTACTTTTTTTTATTGTTTAAATGTCATTTTTGCACAGTTTTGTTGAGTACTAAAATGGCACATCATGTCTATGACCTTACTGATGTTATAACCATTACCCTCTGGTTTATCAGGCTCTATTGACAATATGGTCAGATCATAAGAAACACTGGGCAGCATAATCCAACAATTCATTCATCGCTGCAAGAAAAAGTAATTTTGACATCTTCACTTCTAGACTCTAGAGTCTGAAATTATTTCATTAATTCTAAATTCCCATGCCATTCAAATTCACAAGATGAACTCTGTAAATTGGTAATGTTCCACTTCATAAAACTTTGGTGGTAAGATGATTGCAGGTGAAACCTTGCATAGAAAGGCCCTCCAAGGTAATGAGACACAAACTGGAAGGGGTTACTCAGATTTGTTAAACATCACCAATTAAAGCACAGCCTCAGCATGGTAACACACAAAAAAGGTAACACAGTGTTCTTCTAAACCTGAATATCCGGAGTCTTTGTCAGATTCTGCTGCTGCCATACTGGAGCGATGGTTGGAGCTCTTCATCTCCCTCACTCTGCCCAGCAATTCCTCACCAGTGTCAGTAGATGACTGCTTTGTCTGAGTGTTTCCATGGTGCCGTGGGCAGTTTTCAACACCTTTTCCATTGAGGAACTACAAAAACAGTTAAGGACAAAGAAAGGACTTTATCTGAATCTAAAGAAAGCTCCATCACTATAAGATAACAATAGCTGCATATCTCCCTTTATACTGCCAGTGATCTAACTGCAGACTTCAAGAAATATCTCAAAAGGCTGAAAGAATGAAATTCAGATCAAAAGCTAATGTACTGGACATGTCTTTCCACCCCACAAAGGTAAAACAAACTAAAAATTAAAGGCTATTCATAAACAACATTTATTTCAAGAGCGGGAATTACTCAGGGCATTATTTATCTTACGAAAGCTTTGTTGTCCCAAGGGCTGAATTGCAAAACAAGACAGTTGTGCTGGGTGAAGCTCTTACAATAAACACAGCTGAACCTGCAAAGCTGTGGTTTTGCTAACACAGTTTGTTTCATTCTCAAGAGTAGAGTAAGTCATCAGAGAAAAGAATGAGTGACCAGTGAACACACTGCGGGCTAAAGAAATCTGCTGCTAAAAGAGCAACACATACTGCAATACACTCCTAGGGGAGACAGAGCCTTAGAAATGCCCACACCCAGAATGAAAACACTGAAAGGCCAAAACTAAAAGCTATGAAAATCAGAAAAATGTAGTAACATTATGGCCTCCCACATTACATACTTCTTACAACCTTCAGCTGCTTTCTGAAGGTAGGCATCATCCAGTAAGACTAAGTTTCTGCTTCTCTTAAAGAAGGTAATTGAGAAACTGGCTAACGGAAAACTGACAGACTTAAGTGCAGAAATAATTTCTACTATTATTTGTAGAAATTATTTTCCTATAAAGTAACCCACTGAAGTTATGACTCAATGTTAAGTTTTATATTTAAATTACAAAAACAGGAACTCAGGAGTCTACATCATAGTCAGGCCAGCAGTCCATCAGCAGCAGTATGCAGTACAAGCTGCTCCAAATGACATTGTAACAGACATTCTGAAATAATCTACACCAAAATCCAAGTTTCTTGTTCAGGCCCTGCCATCTTTGCTAGAAGCGTGCTCCAAAATACCAAGTCTTAGCACCAGCACTGAGTTCTGAAATGGCAATATGACTGTCTATTGCAGGAATGATGGAATTATGGTCAGCAGAAGAAAAGTTCCTCAAGTAGCCACTTGCACCACTTTTACTTTCCATCTTCAGTCACACCTGCCTGCCTGCTAACAGGTATGGAACAAACATGGTTACACAAGCACAACCTAGATGCTATCCTTGCAATGGAAGAAGTGGTTTAAGACCTGACCCACGCTTTCATCACTTAACCCTTTCCAAAACAAATGTATTTTTTAAGAAAGTGATAAGCAGAAATGCTAATCTAAAATAAAACCCAAAAAAACCAAGACCACCTCAAACCAAAACAAGAAAGAGAACTAAAAACAAAGTAAGAACACCTCATCTGCCAGCTTTGCATTAAGTGAAGCTTTGGGAAGGGCTGACACACCACCTTCCCTCACAGAAAAAGGCAAAACACCACAATCACAACCGAAAATAAACAAACCAGAAGCGCCACTCCCCCGAGGCACGGGCGTGAGAAACCTCCTGCTCCTGTTCGGGCCGAGCAGCCACCCGGGCCCGGCGGGCAGGACCTCCGCCGCGCACCCCCTTTAGAACCGGGCGCCCACCCCGCCGTCCGGGGCAGTCCGTGCCGCTGCTCCCACCCAGCCGCCTCCCGGGCCCGCACGCCACACTCTGGCGGCACGAGGAGAGCCCGCGCAGTCGGGCCGAGCCACTCGGCTGCCGGTCCCGAGCCACCGCCCCGCCACACGGCGAGGCGCACCAGGTACAGCACAGTCCAGGGGCACCGGGGCCCGAGCCGCCGCCCGCTCACGGCCACGGCCGCGGCCGCCGCCTCCCGCCGGGCCGGACCGAGCCGGGCCGGGCCGCCCCTCACCTGGGCGCGGGGCCGCCACAGCTCAGCCGCGCCGCGCATGCGCCGCACCCGCTCCGGGCACGCCCCGCCCTCACGGCCACCGAGGGGGAGCACGGCCGCCGCGGCCCGAGCGCGCATGCGCAGAGCGGCCGGCCGGAGTGTGGGCTGTGGGGTGGCTCTGTGCCGCGGCCGTGAGGCGGCTCCGTGCTGTGGGGCGGCTCCGTGCCGCGGCCGTGAGGGAGCCGGGCAGGCTGAGCGGAGCCCGGGGTTCGGGACGGCGCTACGCCTCCCGAATGCTGTACAAAAAAGTACAATTCTTCCCCACACAGAAGGTTAGGTGTTTGTGCAGCCTCTCAGTCCATGAAAGAGAGAGGAAATATGAAGGAAACAGCATCAAAGAGGTCTCAAACTTGTCTCAGTGAGGGAAAACAGGGCAAAAAAAAGGAATCATAGAATAATTTAGGTTGGAAAAGACCTTGGGTCATCGAGTCCAACCTATGACCTAACACCACCATGTCAACTTAGACCAAGTGCTGCATCCAATCTTAGATTCTTTCAGGTACGGTGACACCATCACCTCCTTGGGCATCCTGTTTCAATGTCTAATAATCTTTTTTGTGAAGGAATTACTTCTCATCTCCAACCTGAACCTCTGGCACAGCTTGAGACTGTCCTCTTGTCCTGTCTCTGGTTGCTGGGAGAGGAGGCCAAGCCCTGTGTGGCCACAGCCTCCTGTCAGCCTCCTTGTGACAGTGATAGGGTCACCCCCGAGTCTCCTTTTTTCTGGGCTGAACATCCCCTTCTGCTCCTCACAGAACTTGTGCTCTAGATCCTTCACCACCTTCATCACCCTTCTCCTGACTCACTCTAGTACCTCAGTGTCTTTTCCTGAAGGGAGGGACATAAAGTTGGACACAGAATTCAAGGTATGGTTTCATCAGTGCCAAGTACAGGGGAAGAATCACTTTTTCCTGTTATGAGTGAAAACAAAAAAACCAACCAACTTTTACATGGCTAGGAAGTATAAAATACATGGATTTGGTTTACATGGACTGCATGTAAACCAAGGGCAAATAAATAGGAAGAAGTGAGTCCCGGTTCAGTGAAAAAACTAGAGTAGCTATTCTTGTTCTGAGAGCTCCATAAATGCTACCAGCACCCAGAAATCTGTCAGAATATTTTGCATTTGGACATGAAAGCCATTTCCTTAGAGAAAACTGAAAAGGCTGTGTGTGTGGAAGACCTGAGCAAATACAAAATTAATTCCTTAAATAGAAATGGAAAGAAACACTTTCATTGTTTTGATGGTCTTGTTAAAGAACCTGAAATATGCTGATTAAAGAGGTCAACAAGATCTAAGAAATTCCTGAATGCAAAAGAGAAAGACCTTTAATCTCAGCATAGTCTCATAAACAACTTGCCAAATGCAACACAAAAATGTCTGATGTTGTGTGAAATGACACCGCCATTTGAAAAAATATGGCACTGCTGGGTTCCAGTCCTACCAACCTGAAATGCTGTGAGAGAACACTAGTGACTCTTAGGATGTGTTTTTGAGCACTTAATGCTGATTGCATCTAAGCTGTAGTGTGACATGTGTGATCTCTGGAGTCTGGATTTGGATCCCTTACTGTTCAGGAGTTTTGAGTTCTGAGGAAAAGCATGCTAAGAATGCTGTTGTATCATCTTATTTGTACAGGCATGGTCCTGGGTTGCCTTGTATCCAGAAACAACCCTTACTGTCCTCTCCAGAGGCTGGATTGCTCAGGATATGGAGTATGTGTGGGTGCTCAGTGAAAACAGCTCACCAGAGAGCAAGTGGCCTGTGTTTGGGACAGACAGCCTGCTGTTCAGTTCAGGTGATTCAGAACAGCTTTGGAACGTGTGATACCAGGCCTTCCTCTAAGGGGCAGCAGGTAGGATAACTGAAATACTGTTATTACTGTTTAATAGAGAAGTTTTCTTGGATAGTTAAGGTAAACCTCTGTTCTAAAGAAATGAAATGTTGCCACCCAAATTGTCCCTGAATTAAGTTTACTTAAACCTTAGGTTTATCTTGGACATATCTAAATTCTTCCTCCTCCAAATACGCTGTTTTTGTAGTTTAAATAATATTTCTGTCGTTGCCCCTTATCTCTCTTTTCATTTTATTTGATTCTTCACTGACCCAAGGTCTCATTTACTGTGTGAGTTCAGTGATTACAGTCAGTGGCAACAGGATGTTTTCCTTTTTCCTTGTGTTATACAGTGGTTGATTATGCTAAAGGTGAGTGTTTTGACAAATAAGAATTAACTTTTTGTTCACTTCCCTGTTTATTCTGGTCATACAACAGGAAAGGAGTGAAAAGAATGTGAGTGAAGTATGACTGCATGTTTATTCAGTGTAGGTGTTTCAACACTTACTAAAAAAAGGTGTTGAATATCTTCTTTCAGGAGAAGATGCAGAAATCATCTTTCATGGCTTATGAGTGACAAAGGCAAGTTTTTATCTAATTAGGTGGTTAAATAATGTGTGCTTACTGAACAATTAATAAAGGTGTTGATGCATAGACTTCATAAATGCATGTGGGACAAAGAATCTTTTGTACTAACACAGCGCTAGAAAGAAATGTTTGGCAAACTTTGGAAGTAAAGCATAGCCAGGTCAGGAGAATGTAGTTTCATATTACACTGTCTGAACTGGAAAGGTTAGGTCTGAAAACACCATGTACTCAATCTTTTTTCTTCATATACTCTCTGCTTTGTTTTGCTATCACAGACAAAATACAATTTAACAAGTGCTATATTGTATTCAGTTTACAAATAAATAGCTTTATTCATCTCACTTCATTGAACCAGTCTAATTTTTATGATATTTTAATACATGTATCTTTGTTCCTTCTGTAATTTTAATACATATACATAGAAGAATATTGTTTAAATGATGCCTCATAAGTTTTCATGGTTTCAACAAAAGAACTAATTCATCCAGACAAAATGTGTTGTTGGACATTAAAACAATATTAAAGCTCAAAATCTTTTTGAAAGGACATTCCACGTATGTATTTTGTTAATAATTAATATCTTTTAATAAATATCAAAGCAGGAAACATTGTGTGATCCTGTGCTCTCACCTGTAGTCTGTCACAGATCATAGAATTTCACCCAGAAGTTGACTTAACAAGATTTTTCTCTAATGAAAGTACTTTAGTAATGGCTCCTTTTTTTCTAAATTTCAACTTTAGATATGTATTCTTTTCAAAGTACGAATCTTTCATATTGTTATATCCATCTGCAACTTCATCTTTATCATAAATATATCCAATTAAAGGCAAGGCAGAATGAAGATTTAAAAATTTACATTTAAATTTAAAAGTAACAATTAACAAAGTTGGCATATCAAGAATAAAGCACTTTTGATGCTCTTACACTCTTCTACACTGTTTTATGTTGGAGGAGAAGAAAGGTGGATTTAATATTCCCTTTACAACTTGTAGACTTTGGGCCAACGGAGGGTTTGGGGAAGCAGTGCAGAAGAGCAGCCCCAGGGACTGCTTTTCACCCTTGCAGCACCAGAGCGTTGCAGCAGTGCAGAGTGCTCTGGGGAGCAGCAAGGCCTTCTGTGTTCCCTCCCCAGCACAGTCATCCTCTCTGCCTGCTCTTCAATGCAGTGTGAGGAAAGCTATGGGGTGTAGAAGGATAACCTTTACTTAATCAGTGCAGTGCTCTCAGGGAGATCTCATTATAGTAGGTTTTTTTCTGGGGGAAGGATCTACATAATTTAAACTGTTGCCGTGGAAGAGCTACTATTTGTTCCAAAGCAGGCTAGATGTCATGTTTTCCTGGTGTTCAAAAACATTTTTGGGTCTATATCTCAGATGTTGATGGTGGCTTTGGGAGTTTTGTTTTTGGTAAGTGTTGAGTTTTCTAAGACCATCTCTACAGACTCTTTAGGATGGATTGTAACTTGTCCAGTGTCTTCATTTTTCTAGTTGCATCTTAATTTTGTGAAGCTGAGCACTGAGATAAGCATCTTCTCCTTCTGCATGGCTTCTGTATGCCTGCGTTTCTTGTAATGACCACTGGGTGTCGTGATTCTCTTTGGATTACAGGACATCGAGAAGGACAAATTTAGTCCAATCAAGGACTTCCTATGGACTTTTTTTTCGGGTGAAAAGGCCTTTGTCTAATTTACATAGGATTACAATAAGGACTCCCAAATCTTACTTTAAAATAATGTAATTTGTTTAGGTAAATGTGTGATTCTCGGGTCTGTTCTGTGCAGGGACAGTAGCTGGACTTTGATGATCCTCATGGACTCCTTCCAACTGAAAATATTCTGTGAGTCTGTGATTCTTTATTTATGTGCCAAGGGCCACTAATATGAGATAGGAATACTACAAACAACAGCCTAATTCTCTACATGTTTTATTCCCATTACCACTTACTCATTCAACTGAATGACACTTTGTTTGCAGAAAAACACTAAGATGTCAGTAGGTAATTAAATAAATCCTGGTATCATAAATGTATAACATAGCAGAACCAAGGATGAATTGGTGATCTCAAATCGGTATTTTCCTAATTTTTGGGAACTATATTTGACATGGCTGTGTTTGAGATTATGATTTTGGTAAAGATTTTGGCCTGTTATTTTCACCATTTTTGCAAGCAAATGAAAAGGCACGAATTTGTAACTTTATATACAAGGATAAAAAATGGACTTCATGCAGAAGAAGGCTTGAATGTTGAACCTTTGGTACAGACCTGTGCTGCAGAGGATTAAAGACCAACCATATTAGTTGCACATAGAAGGATTACATT